GGCTTAATTTTTGTCATCTATTTAGTATTAGTGTGTGATAGTTTAAGCAAGCTATTACACTCCAGGTTCACATTGTGACTGTTCCAAAGCAAGATGCAATGCTATGAAATATAGACAACATTCATATATATGAATTTCTTAGTAGTTCTACTATAATATAATATGTGTAACGATTTTAAGGATGTTGGTAGCATTCATTCAAACAATCAAATTAATGACAAGGAGACAGCTTGCAGCATTCTTTAACCTTTAAATTCCTTATTATGTGTTGTAATAAACGTAACAAACAATTACAATATAGCTTCTATAATGGTTTGAAAATATCAGTGCCTAGAGAAATGAATTAAACAATTTTTTCGTTTTAAGATCTCACAAGTATCATCTCACTCTCATTACTGTAAACCCGTTAGATGTATTGTATAAATTACAAGATTAAAAAATATTTCGATTTCACGATAATTTGTTGCGTATGTTAATGGCCTTAAATCTAATCAGAAACCGTATGCCTCCGGATAATAGAACATAGAACATACGTCAATATATTTTTCCAAACTAGGAAAACTGAATTATCTTTAAGAAAAATTAATTTGATTGTTAAAAATATCTATAAAATGTAAATAACTTTTAATATCTTTTATTTAAAAGAAACATTACGCTAACGGATTTCACGTAACTCCGATGTGATTAAAAATCTCGACACACATTCGTTTGTATTGTTTGGTATTCGTCTAGAAACATTCGTTTAATATATCCTTAAAATTTGTAAATATTTACGATATCAATTAAATAATTTTTACATTTAATATCGACACACATTTTGTATTCATTTTACTCCCTTTCAGCCCCATAGAAATTCGTATTCCTGATAATTATTTTACACCTGGACAATCGAATGTATGCTAATTTAATCACCGTGACTTCAATATTGCCTGTAAAAACAAAAAGACAATTCCAATATTTCACATTAATATCTGATTTTAACTTGCATTAAGAAGGCATATGCATATAAATATTATACAGACATTCTAAAATATTGTTGTACCTTTTATAAGGAATCACCATCTTAATTATTGTTGATGTAAGCATTCACTTAAAGGTAGAATGATAACGAATAAGAAGATCTCAATTTTATCTTCACTTTTTGCCTTAGATGCACGCAGTCAAACTTTACAAGATACATTTTCATATGAATTTAACATAATCTTGTTACCCTGCTAGGCTTTCCTCTTTTGATTAAAATTGACGGGCCATGTTAGAGATTCCATGATGACCATTTCTTAAAACCCTTTAGGGACTTAATTGTCACAAACGTGTTAGTATGCCATTTTAGGTTATTGTCTTGCTGCTCTGCTTTCCTAATAAAATTTTATTATTTTTGTTATGGTCATTAGATTTGTTACTATTTACAAGAGTATTTCTGCGTTTTATTTATAACATCTTCTGAAACTATTGAACGCTACAAAATATCGCTCAGTGTCATTCTATTTCAGGATCACATTAAGGATAAGAGTAACATTTGGTGTACTTTTACCTCAGTAGTGATTGTCCTAAATTTATGCTTTGTTTTTATTACTTTTATTTAATATGATGTTATTTAGTCTTTATAGTTCTTTCTTATTGTCGTAAATAACAGGTATTAACCCCAAAAGCATTAAATTCAATTATCTTACTTTGTAATTATTCTTACGTTTCCCTGTTTTAAATTGTACCTTCAGCGTGATTGGTTATATTGAAGGGTTGGTCCTAATTCGAGTATAATCATCCTACTATTATCAGAATGATCTTTCTTTTCCGCCCGTTTATGCCCAGGTCATTTTCAGTGTCCAAGTTTAAGCTTTGATTAAGGGTAGTTTTAATGATTGACACTGTTTGGGCAGTATTCCATTAACATCTTTTTGTTGATCTCTCCCATCATAATGTATTTATGATAAAATTAATCAATTTAATGTTGTAATGTTTTGATTTATATGTTGTTGTGATTTACGTTTACATACATAGTCATAAAAAGTTTTGTTAATTTTCCCCCTACAATAACAAAAAATAAGTAACAATCGTAACGGGGAAAATCTCTACAAAGATTCATCCCCCCAAAACGATAATGATAGAAATACACGAACATGAAAAACACTGAAACTTGTTATATACTGTACTCCCTCTAGTTTCATCGTTTTCCATATCCAAGATATTCATATAAAATCCATATTGTAGTCGGAACAACTCTATGTGTCGTCACGAGTACGAGTTATCTCTCTTAACCTATGACTACATGAGCATATTGTGGAAAATGGCGGTTTTCATTGAAAAGCCCCCTGTTACAAGTTCAGATAGTTATAAGATGTCACGGGTCGTTTAATTTGTTATGTTAATTGTTCATTTTGCCATGCGCTGTTCGTCATTTAGTCGCGGGAAAAGTATATGGTCCGCGCATGCATCGTTTATCGTTTGTCTCCGTGTCTGCTATTGTATTGTATCGTATGGTTCCATAACATACGCTTTTTAGCGGAAATTCACGGAAACAGCCGAAACAATTTAACCAAGTCTGTATGTGAACTGTTTTTGTATGTCCAATCGTGTTGCACGTTGTATGAAAAAGTTTTGAGAGAAAGTTTTAGATTGGTTTTTGACATTTTCTTTCTTTCAAATTCCCGCGAACTTTCCTTCTCCGCTTCTCTTTGACTTTATTCTATTACGAGTTTAGATACATAGTTGTACTTGCATTGATTCTATAAGTTTATTTAATAGAGTTTTTGATATAATTAAGTTATTTACTTTTTGTTTTGAGACGCTGTGGTAAGATTATTTTCATTTTATTCATTTACTAGTACTTGAAATAATTCTTATTTGCATCGTTCAATTGTTGTATTGTTGTATATATGTATGTTTTAATTAACTTGTTATAATCATGTATTTATGTTTTTACGTTTTTTAATTCGTGTTATATTGAATTGACAAACCTACGCCAGGAGATTGTTATCATTAATTATACCTTGTGACACTTCAATATTCACAAAACTTGAAACAAATGTTGACTACACCATAGCCTTAGTAACGGCATTCTCAATTTTTAAATTGCATCTCAAAATTGCCAAAAATCACTTTTTTGCGTTGATTTTTTCAATCCAAACTGATTTCAAAGTGTTGCAAATTCTCAAATGATTGAGATAGAGTGAAAGGTTTTTCAGCGTTGGTTACACGTTTCCTTCTAATCGACCTGAGGCAAATGTTAGCCTCTCATGTAACCCCTAATGGATCTTTCTGATAGGTGGCGGCGCCGTAAAAAAGATTACTTTTTAAACATCATTTCACAAACGAAAACAAGTGCTTGGGACCTACTTTGGACATTTTAAAACTATTTGAGGCCTAAAAAAGGGAGGGGTGGGGGAGGTCGAAAGTGTGTTGTTTCGCGTATATATGAGATAAAGGGTAAATAAAAAATAGAAATAAATGTAATATAGATGACGCTTTTACCCCAAATTTCTTAATCCACAGTCATGCATTAGAATCAGTACTGTACACATCGAGGTATCACCTCTTTATTTCATATCACAGTTATATAAGTCTATAACTTATTCGGACTGATTCAATTTTCAAAGAATTAAAACGAATCTCATTCGTTATCAAATCTCATTAAACTTAAGATTTCAAAGTCAACAAATAAACCGTATCTCAGTTATCTTTTAAAGTCATTAAAACAGTTTAACGTACAGAAACTATACAAACATTTTATTTCCGTTTATGTTTGAAGAAGTTATAATCTGATACTATTATTAAAGGCACAATATACCTCAGAAATAAAAAAAAAAACATTCTGAAGAAAGGACATTAATTTCATAACCTTTAAATAATGGTTTAAGAGCATGGCGGATGCTTGTGACTCACGAAAAGTAGCGCTGAATGTGAAATGATTTGTCATATAAGTAAACAAAGTAGTGTTTTTGTTTTGTTTTCATCAATAAACCATAGCGCCTTCGCCATCTTACCAACACGTGTTCATCATTGTACCATCGCCTTCCGGGGTCATATGCATTTACATATACATGTACATATTTATCAGCATCAAAATATAGTAATAGCAGGTGAATTTCTTCAGGTGTTCCTTACAATCAAATAAAACCAACGCATAAGTAGAAAAAACGTACATATATGTATTGTTACTTGCATTTTACATAAAAATAAGCCACAGCAAATATTTTTTAACATTTTTACATTGCTGTGATTTGTCGGTGAAATGATTGAAAATGCACAAGGAGCTATTATTACAAGATCAAATGTTCAAAACATATTCTGTTTATAACAAATGATTATTTGTTGATAAATGATAACAATTTTCAATAAAAATAGGATTCATGGAATTAAACATTAAAGTTTTATAGCCCTGTCCTGATTACCATCACTTTGATAGACGGATTGTGAATAAGTCGATGCATGGGAATATGGATGGATGTGATAGGATAGATAAATAGTATAAAACATAGAGACGATAGAGAAAATGGAGACAAAACAGCTAGATGTAATGACTGTTCATATACATTTTGTCCGTGAAAGTGAAACTTGTCCGAAAACGAAGCATAAGTAATAATTTAAATTATTATAATAATAAAATCTTTACTCAGAGAAGGCGGTGTACTTAGGTTGCACAAAAGAACATGTACAATTTATTTGTCATATCATGTGTAGTTATATGATCAATGTAATTAATTGTAAAAGGTGACTAATAGGTCCATTTGGCCGGGTGCAAAACACTTTGTTAAATTGTATTGTATTGTATAAATGTTCATTGCATATGTTACTATAATAAACAATTATCTATTTATTTTCAGTATGATTTTTCTTTTTAAATTTAACAATAACAAAGAAAACGAATAACAATTATTAAAAAAGCAAACTACTTAAAATAATGGTATTGTTGTCCATAAAGTCAACAGCATAAACAAATTGTACAAACTAAAGTACTTTCTTAAGTTTTAGACTTCCTAGTGTACTTACGTTTTCAAACATCCTGATCTAAATGAGATATAATAATTTTGTTTAAGATAACGGATTCAGAGGTTAAATCTAAATTTTAGTTTTTACTATTTAAAATGGTTGGATTAAAAATTCTATATGTTTATATAACTGGATTTACAGTTTATTTACATGCTGGTGAGTAATATAAACTACTACACAGGTATACATTTATTTTTAATAATTAACATAACATAGACATAAATGAAAAAAATTATGAATAAACACAAATACGCAGAAATAAATGTGTAGCTTTTGTTTTATTTGAAAAGAAGACCCTTATTTAATATGATTATTTCTTAAAACTTTCTTTTCGTTTATTGAAAATAATTTATTCCGCATTCAATTGATACAAACTTTGAATTGCATTATTTTACGTTACGTTTTATTTAGGCAGTTAGATATATGTCTACACAAAATCGCTACATTTCAATTGCTACATTACTATTACGCTTTACATAATAAACTGAGGATCATATTCCAAGTACCCAAATACCTATGCCCTATCCCAAATCTAAATATATTAGTTTTTTGTCTTAACTAATTGTTCTTTATTTGAAATAACGCACTTTGTTTCGTTATCTGAGATATCGTATTGTGCGTTATTACCAACAAGCAATTATCATAATATTGCAAGCAATTGTTTGTTTGTTTCATTTTTTACGCCTTTTCCCAACAGTGTTTCAGTCATATGAGCGGGTAGTTTCCTAACCATCGTTTCTGGAGAGTTACACCTGTACTAGACTACCTTCCTCCGCGCTAAACTACCAAAGCATCTCCCGGGGATCGAACCCACGCCAGAGAGGTAACTGGATTAGAAGTCATCGACTCTAACCCCTCGACCACGGAGGCGGTTAAGCAATTCATAAGCCCCCCCCCCTCCTACCGGATAGAGCCCAAGCAATGGTCATGGCCATTCAATAAAGCCATTGTGGAACTTAAATCTTAGTTTGTCTATATAATAGAAATAAGTTACGTTTCCCTGCCTAGTTAATAACATATAATATAATAATCTGCAAGATTCAATTTTCTGATCATGAATATGTATAACTTATATTTCCACTTTTCTCTATTATTAGTTATTTTTTTGGAAAAGTTTCATGTTCTTTGGAAGTGATCTCAGGAAACAACTTTTAGGGATGGACAGAGACAGACAGACTGATAGACAGAGGGGAAATCTTTAAACATCCCTGGTTGTACCAGAACAAAACATTTTAAAGCAAAATTTATATACTAAAGATGAGATAATTCTTGAAATAAAGATGCTTGACTTACGAACATTGACATTCATGACATGGCTGAAAACAAAGAACAATTATCTAAAGTTTAAAATAGAAACCATTTGTAGTCACAAAGACGAGAAATGAAAAAGATATCAAATAGATATACCAATTATATTTACAGATTTACCAAGAAGAAAATTAAATAATTTTCAGATCAATTTCAAATTTAATATGAAAATAACCAAGGAGTTTGAGGTAAATCCTTTAAAAAAATGAAGAAGTTTGAGTAAAAAATATTATCAAAGAAGAAAATAAAAAGGCGTGCATACATTCCAAAATGCCATTTACTTATATTTGCGTTGTCTAGGGGACGGACAAATGGACGGCAAACCTGAAGTATCCGGTTAAACCGGTACAGCACTAATAAAGCACTAATAAAGCATGTTTCTGGCGTATAACAGGTGAAGAACTTCAAAGAAAAATCACCACATCATGCTATAATTAATATTATCATTGGTATACTTGAAATAATAGTAAATATTAACAACTGTTTTAGGCACTGTTGAGAGAATATATATACGTGAGAACAAACCAGCTCTGAAAGGTAGTAATATACAGCTCGTGTGTGAGATATCACAGTTTAGTAAGTCTGATACGTTATATGTCTACAAGAGCGACTCTCGTCTTCCTTCCTCATTTCCTGATATCCGGCCAATGACTATCTGTTTCTCCGAATCATTCTGTATGACAAACAGTATTGGCAGATACACATTCAGTGCTGACAAGATTAATGTCTACATCAACATAACCAGTGTAAACAGATCGGAGGATCAGAAATGGTGGACATGTTCTATTGAGAATCAGAGAAAGGATATGTTGGTTAATGTCATAAGTATGAAGTTTTACCCTAAATAATTCAAAATTATTCGTCTTATTATTATATTAGATATGAACGTATTGTGTTTGTTGCACAATTATTGAATTATTTAGTTTGTATTCTATGTGTAAAAAATTCCATAATACAAAGGTGAAAAAAATGAAGCTACAAACGATATTGTACAAAATTAATGCTATTGTAAAGAAATTTATATCCCTTACTTCAAATACATTTCGAGGTGTAAGCTTATGTGGAAAGTATATGATTATGTCTCCCAAAATTTTTGGGAGACATATTGTTTTTGCCTTCGACGTCTATCTGTCCGTCCGTCCGTCTGTCCGCATTCACAGGACAGTAATTATGAGGCTAGAGGGACAATAGGTCACTGTTCTTTTTCTTTGATGTCATTTATTCCGTAATGCTTTTATGCGGCTATTTTCTTTTGTGTGGCTAAAAAGAGCAATAAAGAGAAAAATAGAGTAGCCGCATTATTACTCTCCTGTTAGAACGTCCGTCCGTCCGCATTGAGCTTGTTCGTCCTTCACAGGTCAAAACTACTGGTGGGATTTCAACCAAACTTTACTGGAGTGTACTATCCCTAGTTGTACACATCACCGGCACGTTCCGCTTCGCTGCACAAAATGGCCGCCAGGGCTAAAAATAGAAAAATCTTGTCTGCCCTTCACAGGTCAAACTACTGGTGGGATTTCAACCAAACTTTACAGGAGTGATCAGTACCATCCCTTATTGTGAACATCACAGGCACGTTCCACTTCGCTACACAAAATGGCCGCCCAAGCTTAAAATAGAACAAGAATGTGTTTGTTAAACACAAATGCCCCAGGCTCAGATTCTTGACAGTAACAATATTTAAAAAAATGTGTACCCATCCACTCAGTTATGGACAGAAAAATTGCCAAAAAATTGGAAACACAAGTTATATTATATAGCTTGACAAAGTCATGGCATTTTGTAATTGTGAAAAATATAAGTTGCCAAGTCATTGCTCTGACTTGTGAAGTTGAAAAATATTCAACTGTAAGTTATCTTCCTACCAAATATGAAATACATCTGTCAATAAATAAAGGCTGTCTGGGCAAAAGTGTAAAAATCTATTTTGAGCACTGGTGACCTTGACCAAACTGACCCCTAACTCTATCCAAAGGAAGAATACCATGTAAGTTATCTTCCTACCAAATTTGAAATACATCTGTCAATAAATAAAAGCTGTATGGGCAAAAGTGTAAAAATCTATTTTTTAGCACAAGTGACCTTGACCCAACTGACCCCTTACTCCATCCAAAGGAAGAATACCATGCAAGTTATCTTCCAACCAAATATAAAATATATCTGTCACTTAATAAAGGCTGTATGAGCAAATGTGTAAAATTCTATTTTCAGCATTGGTGACCTTAACCCAACTGACCACTAACTCCATCAAATTTTATGTTTCTATCAATTATAAATAACATCTGTCTATAGAATAAGGTTAATACACCTGTAAAAATGTAAAAATTTATTTTTTACATTGGTGACCTTGAGATTGGTAACGTTGATCTTGACCCAAATGACCCCTTACTTCACCCAAAGAAGGAGGACCTCCCTTGGCATGTTTGTATTAAACTAAGACATCAACTAAAATAAAGGCTGTATGAGCAAAAATGTTTATATTTATTTTTTAAACCAGTGACATTGACCTTGACACTAGAGACCGCTTACTCCACAAAAAATTAGAGGACTATCAAAGGTATCCCCCTACTAAATATGAAAGATATCATTAAAGAAATTAAACAATTAGGAGAAATTTAAGATAAATCCAACTTGTCGAAATAAGTTAACCAGACAAGGCCCTATTTTCAAAGTGAAAAAAGGGAAATAACTGGGAAATATGGATGACACAGTTATATAACTTGGTAATTCATGTACTTTGTATTGATAAGTAAGTGTGGAAATTATAAAGCCATTAGTATAGATAGAACTTAAGATATTTCCAACTTGCCGTTTAAGGTTCACCATTTTTTATTTTCTAAGTGCTGAAAAGGGCAATAACTTGATAAATATGAAAGCCAGAGTTGTGTAACTTGCCCAGATCATGTACTTTGTATTGATTAGAAAGTGTGTAAACTAAGAAGCCATTGGTACAGGTAGAACTTAAGAAAAATCCAACTTGCCGTTCTAGGTTAACCTCGTACGGACAGACGGACGGACAGACGGACGGTTCAATAACTATATGCCCGTGGGCATAAAAATCTTTTTCGTCCTTCACAGGTCAAACTACCAGAGGGATTCATCCAAACTTTACTACAGGAGTTATCAGTACCATCCCTAGTTGTGCACATCACCAGTACGTTCCGCCTCACTGCACAAAATGGCCAAAAGAGCTAAAAATAGAAAAATCTTGTTCGCCCTTCACAGGTCAAACTACTGGTGGGATTTAAATCAAAATTTACAAGAGTGATCAGTACCATCCATAGTTGTGCACATTACCGGCACATTTCGCTTCGCTGCACAAACTGGCCACCAGAGCTAAATATAGAAAAATATGGTCCGCCCTTCACAAGTCAAACTACTGGTGTGATTTCAACCCAACTTTACAGTAGTGATCAGTACCATCCCTTATTTTGAGCATCACCGACAGGTTCCGCTTCGCTGCACAAATGGCCGCCTAAGTTAAAAATAGAAAAATCTTGTCCGCCCTTCATCGGTCAAACTACTAATGGGATTTCAACCAAACCTTACGGAAGTGATCAGTACCATTCCTTGTTGTGCACTTCACCGGTACGTTCCGCTTCGCTGCACAAAATGGCCGCCAGAGCTAAAATTAGAAAAAATCTTGTCCGCCCTTCACAGGTCAAACTACTTGTGGGATTTCAACCGAACTTTACAGGAGTGATCAGTACCATCCCTTATTGTGAATATCACAGGCACGTTCCGCTTCGCTACACAAAATGGCCGCCCAAGCTAAAAATAGAACAAGAATGTGTTTGTTAAACACAAATGCCCCAGGCTCAGATTCTTGACAGTAACAATATTTCAAAAAATGTGTTCCCATTCACTCAGTTATGGACAGAAAAATTGCCAAAAAATTGGAAACACATGTTATTTAGCTTGACAAAGTCATGGCATTTTGTAATTGTGAAAAATATAAGTTGCCAAGTCATTGCTCTGACTTGTGAAGTTGAAAAATATTCAACTTCATGTAAGTTATCTTCCTACCAAATATGAAATACATCTGTCAATAAATAAAGGCTGTCTGGGCAAAAGTGTAAAAATCTATTTTGAGCACTGGTGACCTTGACCAAACTGACCCCTAACTCTATCCAAAGGAAGAATACCATGTAAGTTATCTTCCTACCAAATTTGAAATACATCTGTCAATAAATAAAAGCTGTATGGGCAAAAGTGTAAAAATCTATTTTTAGCACAAGTGACCTTGACCCAACTGACCCCTTACTCCATCCAAAGGAAGAATACCATGCAAGTTATCTTCCAACCAAATATAAAATATATCTGTCACTTAATAAAGGCTGTATGAGCAAATGTGTAAAATTCTATTTTTAGCATTGGTGACCTTGACCCAACTGACCACTAACTCCATCAAATTTTATGTTTCTATCAATTATAAATAACATCTGTCTATAGAATAAGGTTAAAACACCTGTAAAAATGTAAAAATCTATTTTTTTACATTGGTGACCTTGAGATTAGTAATATTGATCTTGTCCCAAATGACCCCTTACTACACCCAAAGAAGGAGGACCTCCCTTGGCATGTTTGTATTAAACTAAGACATCAACTAAAATAAAGGCTGTATGAGCAAAAATGTTTATATTTATTTTTTAAACCAGTGACCTTGACACTAGAGACCGCTTACTCCACAAAAATTTAGAGGACTATCAAAGGTATCCCCCTACTAAATATGAAAGATATCATTAAAGAAATTAAGCAATTAGGTGAAATTTAAGATAAATCCAACTTACCGAAATAAGTTAACCAGACAAGGCCCTATTTTCAAAGTGAAAAAAGGGAAATAACTGGGAAATATGGATGACACAGTTATATAACTTGGTAATTCATGTACTTTGTATTGATAAGTAAGTGTGGAAATTATAAAGCCATTAGTATAGATAGAACTTAAGATATTTCCAACTTGCCGTTTAAGGTTAACCATTTTTTATTTTCTAAGTGCTGAAAAGGGCAATAACTTGATAAATATGAAAGCCAGAGTTGTGTAACTTGCCCAGATCATGTACTTTGTATTGATTAGAAAGTGTGTAAACTAAGAAGCCATTGGTACAGGTAGAACTTAAGAAAAATCCAACTTGCCGTTCTAGGTTAACCTCGTACGGACAGACGGACGGACAGACGGACGGTTCAATAACTATATGCCCGTGGGCATAAAAATCTTTTTCGTCCTTCACAGGTCAAACTACCAGAGGGATTCATCCAAACTTTACTACAGGAGTTATCAGTACCATCCCTAGTTGTGCACATCACCAGTACGTTCCGCCTCACTGCACAAAATGGCCAAAAGAGCTAAAAATAGAAAAATCTTGTTCGCCCTTCACAGGCAAACTACTGGTGGGATTTAAATCAAAATTTACAAGAGTGATCAGTACCATCCATAGTTGTGCACATAACCGGCACATTTTGCTTCGCTGCACAAACTGGCCACCAGAGCTAAATATAGAAAAATCTGGTTCGCCCTTCACAGGTCAAACTAATGGTGTGATTTCAACCCAACTTTACAGTAGTGATCAGTACCATCCCTTATTTTGAGCATCACCGACAGGTTCCGCTTCGCTGCACAAATGGCCGCCTAAGTTAAAAATAGAAAAATCTTGTCCGCCCTTCATCGGTCAAACTACTAATGGGATTTCAACCAAACCTTACGGAAGTGATCAGTACCATTCCTTGTTGTGCACTTCACCGGTACGTTCCGCTTCGCTGGCCAAAATGGCCGCCAGAGCTAAAATTAGAAAAAATCTTGTCCGCCCTTCACAGGTCAAACTACT